TTGTTTTAAAAATTCATTTATATTAATGAATTGTTTTATGATTTTTAAATGTGAGAATCCTGGGGGCTTCGAATAAATCGACGTCTTAACAGATGCTGAAACTGGTAGAGATCAGTGTATTTAATACAACGGTGTACAGGTTCATGAAATGTTATCTTGAAATCATTAGTCGAAACGAAGCGGTTGATGAGATCTATACGTGGAATGGCGATGGGAGATTCGAATCGGTGTTCAGGCCATCGCTAGCCGGTGAACAGTTGGTGCTCGCCGCGGCGGGTAAAGGGCCCGGAGGGCACGTGCACGCACGCATACATTAACACGCGCGTGCTGGGTGACGACGGTGGCTCGGCGCGAGTTGCGAGCGAAGGGAGAGCCGGGCCACGCACGCAGACGTTTAGGCGCCACGCCGTGAATCGGGAGCCAATAAATCGCACGCTGCCTCATTACTAAGCTTGTCTCTTTAATTGAAATCTCGTGTTTTTCCAAACGCGCGGCGAACTTTTTTACTGGCGAGTCCCGCGAGAAGTCTACTCGGCGCCCCCGACCTCGCGTGGATTTCGTTATAAAATACGCAAACCGAGGACGACACCTCCGATATCTTTTCCGTGCTCGCGTCGCTCTTCGACGCTTCTTCTTTTCGATCCACTCTCTTTTATTCAGGATTTATGCGCCTCGTTCCTTTATCCGCGATACTCGTTTTCATGTCTCCGCTCGCCTAATCGCTTCGTCACGTTATGTACGCGCCCGTTTTTCACTGAAACGAGGAGACTCAACGGTCCTCCGCCGTTTCTTGTAGATTCGTGACGAGTTCTCGGATCGACTCGATCGAACCGCGTGGGAATGGAATTGTTTCAACTCCGGGAAATTGTTGATACGCGAGAGAACTTGTTTGCTTTGAGTCAGAATTCAGAGAAGTTCCAAGTAGACGGTGTATCTGTTATATTTATTAATCGACAGATCATTTGTTAAATATTCTTCCATTAAAGAATTTTTTCAATCCTTCTAATTTTTTTTTTCTTACATGAAATCTAAGGAGCGGACGCGTGTTCATTTTTATGAAGAACGGCGCAAAGTAAAAAAACCTGTCCGATTAAAGCGTGAAGGTGGTGCGTGACGCAAGTGAGAAGCGGAAAGCGGTCCCATCCATTTTTCTATACTCTATAGGCGTCGATTTCGATCGGTCGACGCGTGTTTCCCAACCTCGGGAGTAGGAATGTCATAACGCGTGTCAACCGGACGTTTTCTCCCCCAGAAAACGTTGACGGGGCCAACGCCTTTTAGCCGTGACTAGTCAACCGTAATCTTAAGTAGACTAACGCAAAAAGACTAATCACTATGCCCAGATCGTTTTTCCGCATATTCGCCGAGGGATTAGTACGTCTTATGTTATTTTATAGCATCAATATAAAAAAATATAGTTTCTTCTAGCGTTTAAGCGTTGCAATATGGATTTAGGTTTCCAATAGATTTTATACCACTGATAAAAGTATCTTTGATAGATTTCTATGCAAAGCAAAAATCATTCATGGTACAAGATTAGAAAATGTGCATACCTTAGATAGCTATTTCTCTTAAGCATTGCGATGTCTGTTCAGCTTTTGATATCTTGCACATAAGTCACATACATGTCTTGATTCATATGAAAAATCGCGATGCCAAAAACTGCGAGGGTAACTTCGACTCGTATCAATTTATCGAATGAAAATGATGCTCGCGGCTCGTTAAAGATCGCAGCTGAAACATCGCGTAGCTATATTCGAGAGTAACTTCTGGTTACGTGTCCCCGTGGCTGTCTCTCCGTGAAAAAAGTTTGACTCCCTTGCAAGACACGGCTGAATCCTGGCACGCCGGTCAGTGATCCTTGCCGAGGTTTCGTCCCGTCCGTTTCGGTGTATTCGGGTCCGCGTTCCAGCTTGCGACGAAACGTACATATACGCACGGGTGGACAGAAGTAAACGAGACAAGAGGGGCAGGGGACAGACGGCGGGGGGGGGGAGGGAGAGGCATAGCTGGCGCATTATCACATACGTTAAGTTTTTCTCGGTCCATTGGCCTAGAGCGGGAGCACGAAAAACGACTGATTAATCGAACCAACACGGCGAACATTCTTGCGGCCTTATACATACGGCCACGAGCACGAGAACCAGTAGCCTGTCTCTCGCCCTCTCTCACCCCTCTCGGGGACACCACACCCTGAGCTCCTACGTTCGCACGGATGTCGGGAGAAGAGACACGAGCGGCGCGGCGCGCTGAAAAACTGCTGCCGATACCCCGGGCCCAGTTGTGCCGATGTCCCTTCGAAAACCGGAATGCGTTTCTTATCCGGCCACCCGACCAGGCTATCCGTCTTTATTTGCCTTTCTCTGTCCCTCTTTCTCTCTCTCTCTCTCTCTCAACTTACAATTAACGCGGTACAATACCATACTGATCAGGGATCAAAAAACATTCAGGGAATCGGTACACCAAGTTGAATGAACGAAACTTTTATGTACATAAGTAAATCGATCATTTTACGCATTGGTATAATAGTATCGGAAAGACGCGTGAGTGCTAAGAAATAGGCCTGATACAATAGAATGAAAAGTTAGAATAGAAGCACAGAGAAGCGAAGAGCCTGAAAGAAAACGTGGCAGTAACCAGCCGCCACAATACTTAAAAAAAATCTGCAGTTCAAAAATAAGTGAAGCATAGAGAATCGAACTGGATTTCACATGGGGGGTTGAAGTCGACCTCAAAGCACGCAGCCCTCGATTTTTCTCCTTGTGTACAAGGTGTCGCGAACGAGAATGCCACTTGTTATGCCGACACATCGCCTCGGTTATTACATCTTCCTCGCCCCCTTCGCGAACTCTCATCCCCCGCGAGTCGTCCTCGGGGCGGACATTCCGCGCAGCCGGCGTTCGAGCAAAGTTAAAGTTTACACCGATTCGGATCGGGACACGTGATCGCGCCATGTGTGGACCCACCTCCGACTCGTATTATCGTCGCTGTAAGAGCACGTTTGCGGCATGCCTAAGTCAAAGAACCCGTTTCCGATTCGTTTAGACGCGTGGTGCAATAATTTAAAATTTTTCAAGAACCCCTCAAATCGTTGGTCCCGTTCAATTGGTTGAATATTGAAATTATTGAGAAACTGGTGCGAGTTTCTAGTTTAGAAAAGAGTAGTGAATTGCATTGAAAAGAAATTGATATAATTTATTGCATTCTCAAATGGAACGAAAATTCCTCGCTGCTGAAATAAGATTGAAAAGTCTATCGGTTGTACGTGAAATTGGTGACCTTGTTACCAAAAATGAAGGTAGAAACGAGTATGTGAGCGCATTCTTTGAGACGACTAAGTGCTCAGTAATTTTCGGGCATTACCCCAACTGGTTAATTCGTACGCGACGGCGGAAAAAGGAACCCGGCTATTTCGGTCTCGAAATCATTTGCATTTAGGCACTACACCGATTACGGACTTGTGGCTAATAAAATTTGACCAGCTCGAAGACTTCATCATCGATATCGCACGCATATCTACGTGAAACCTTCAATTTTCTGCACGCGATGCCGATCATCGCGAATTCCGGTAATACCATTTTTCTTCCCTCGTTCACCGCAAGCCTTTTTGAACGAAATGAGGCACTGTTCGGTTAAACTCCTAAAGACATTTTGTCGTTAAGTGTCGGATTGAACGACGTCAAAGTGAGAATCATGGGCTGTTATACTTATAAGAGTTGGATACTTATAAAAATTGCACACTTATAAGAATTGCACAGGTGTCTCCTTAAAATTCCGGGAATTGGTATCAATATGGGTGTGTACGTAATTTCGTTAATATCGATTTCATTATGAGAAGCGTAAAATACTTCTAATAGCCTTTTGCATCAACCACCTTAAGAAATATTAGAGATATCCGTAAAGCATGTATTAGTTAGGCTTGATGGCGCGAGGTATCGGTGACATCAAAGTTTAATAAGCGGCATAAGCCGATCTGGGGTAAAACTCATCGAGCAATAAAACCGGCAATAAAGCGTCTCGCGTCCCGTGGGTGGAGGGGTGTACACGCCGTGTCAGAGACAGAGAGGAATCGTGGCCCGCGTGGTTAACCGAAAGGTTAGAAGGGCGAGAACGCATTAGCGGCGGAAGGTGGCGTGCTCATAGAGACGTCCGGTCGCCCAATTACTCCCGCATTAAATCAATGTTCCACGGGGCCATTCCGGCATCCCGGTAATAAACCGTGGCCGACATATCTGCACGACTCACGGGATCCATCCCCCTTCCACGGTCGCCAAGGGGTGGAACTCCGGGACACTCGAGAAATGCGCCTTCTGTCGTAATATTTGGCTTTAAATCATGTCTCGTTGACAGCACCCTCGCGCTTTCTTCGCACCTTCTGATTCATCCGCGACACACCACGCTTTAGCCTTCTTTTCACCGCCTAGGCTGTTCCCCTTTATTGTAACTCGACGAATTTTTAGTTCTGGAAGGAATGCTTCACATTTTATAAGACTCGTCAGAAATGTAATAAAAATTATGTACATTTTATACTATTTTTCAAACGCAACATAGAAGTCCTCGTTTATTAGAAATTTGTATCTTGAATCTTTTATTATTTCTCAAACACAAAGATTAGGGAGTTTAATATTGACTTGCGAGATCGTTTGACGTTTTCAAGAATTTTTGCATTTCATACGGGAAATGCGACGTGTATGGCCGCGTTGAACCGTGAGATTAGCCTCGCGCGCAATTTACGACGCCGATCTTATTCACACTGTAGGCTTTCATATAAAAGCTTTCTCCTGTAAGCTGCGATACGTCCTTTCGTCGCTGGAATAGGGGAATCGCGCACTGTAATAAATTAACATTGTCCATTGCGTGTAAAATGATCGAGAGGAAATTTACATAATAAAAATTAATACTGTTTATATAATAAAATATAAGATTTATTTAATCGTTGATATAGAATAATGAGATTGTTTATACGACAGAGGTTAATAAAAATTGTTTGGTTGTTTCAGGTATCGAGATGACGCTCTCTGTTGGACTGACAGGTAAGATGTAAATCCGAATATCTTTATTTTTACACTGTCTAAAAAAATAATATATCACAAAGCTAGAATCTTATCTGCTTTCACAAAACTAAATTATGAGAAACATGTTCCAAGCAATTCCTGTAAGTCGCGTTCCTTGGCCATTATCAAACGACCTGAACTGAATTTATTCAAGGCTCGTTCCACGGACTTACCTTGAAACGTTGAAATATTATAGCCGAAAACGCGTACCGATTGATCAACCGAATCACAGCCTTGAAGCGATACCCGTGAAATTAGAACAAGTTTATTGCAATTCTTCTGTATAATAGCAGCCGAAAATGTTTCACGTATACCGTCTAAAAATAGCCAGTTAAAAGCGTCGCCGTTGAAAGAAACGAGTCCCTCTTGTAACACCGTTTTAAACGATCCCTCGACTCAGAATTTATTCCCGAAAAAAGAGAGACCGTTTGAACTCGGGGTAAAAAAACGAAACAAAAATTGAAATAAAAAAAAAGGGGGGGAGGGAGCCAGGCTAGGGATATAAAGGGGAGTAGGTGAATAATACAGAGAGATTGACGTCGCGACGCAATTCCATTGTTCGAAGTGAGCAGAAAGAGAGAGAGATAGCAATGAGCGCGGCTTCGCCACGAGGTTCTTGCCCACCGGTATAAATCAACTCGCGAGTGACCAAACCACTCCGGCATACTCACCGCCGTATACACCGGCTACATCAAATTAGCGACACTTCTTTCGATCGACATGTCGATGCCGGCTTTTTGCCCGTTCACGGAATACTTTCTCTCCCGAGCTATTCGCGCGCCGCGCTTATACTTCTTTCTTCCTTCACCCTCGGCTTTTTTTTTTCCACCGCTCTCGCCCGGCTGCACGTCGTCGTTACGCTCATTTGCGTGTAATGCGGTTTCCAACCGGGAAAACGATGTGTATCTGGCAACTTAATCTCGTGCCGAAGGTACAGCTGGTTAATGGCTTAGCTGTTTGAATAAGGCGATTGATGGGTGACGCGCTTGTTAGACGGAATTAGCGGTTTTATGGCAAATTCGTCGAAATTGGTATTGGAAAATTGTTTATTTGTATTCTGCGTCTTCGCAGGTCCACGGAAAGTGGAGTATACGTTGTAAAAAAAATATGTTGAACTTTTGACACCGACACGAAATATTCTATCGGAGAAACGAAATGTTTCGTCAGACACGATCAGTAAAAGTTGCGATGATAAATCAAAGGTTTGCATTATAAGAATGTTATAAGGGAATAGATTATTCACGATGGTTGGTACGATACCGTTGAAATATCGCCGGAATAATTTATACGCGTCGTTAATGAGCTGTTCATCTGAAAGAGATCGTTAGAGACAGGCAATTTATAAAGTCGCGAAACAAAACTATCGAGTGCGCGCGTACGGGGGAATTCGTAAAGCCGGCGTAATCTGCTGCCCGGGTTAATAATTATTGAACTATCGATTAAATGCTCCGACGAGCCTGATTGATCAGCGTTTATATCGCGAACGCATCGGCTCTGCGCGTCCGCTCCCCTACAATTTTAAAACCGGGCGCCCATCTTTCAAGTGCATCGCGATCCTTTAACTTGCGAACGCGCGACCGGACTACCCTAACGGCATCCGAGCCTAATGGCGTTGTTCCAAGGAAATTATCCGGTAATGAATAAAAAGAACGAGCGGATCACCGGGCTTTTGAACATTCTTCTTGTTCGATTATACCGCTAATGATTTTCATTAATGCTGAATTCTTCAAAACGTTAGTCGAGTTTGCTCGTTTTCATGTACGATCTTATGAGAATCATCAATCTTTTTACCGATGTCCGTTCTTGTTTCAATATGTTCACGCGTTTGTCCATGACGATGCTATTTAATAACGAATTTCCAATAAATTGTACAAACCGTTTGGTATGCGTAAAAGTGGACATCAGTTGAATGATAAACGATCTATATAAACTGAGGATTTTTCATTGGTTTTAAATTATCGAGCAATAAATCCATCTGCGAATTGCAGAAGAACGGCTAATCAAAAATCGATTGAATAAGGCCACGGGCTGGGTAATAACAGAGATTCGATGGGTCGTTTGCCGGAAGCTGGTCCTCTCTCGAGGAATACGCGCGCGCACTGGTATACGCTGTTCTCTTAAACAACCGCGCATTTTTTTGCTGCCGTTCGATTTAACTGGATGTCGTTACTACACTCGGCATTGTTGTCCGCCGATTCGTTCATCGATTCATCCTTTACTCCCCGTCCTCCGGTGGCCGTCCTCCTTCGGCCAGTTACCCGGCTCGATGGCTCGGTCCTCGTTCAGCTTTGGTCTGCCGATCGGATCCGATCGGATCCGATCCGATCCTATATTTATTGTATCGAGGAGACCAGAGCCGCCGCATTCCTCGCGCATGCGCCGCCCGTAATGAGCGGTCTCCAGTCCTGTCTGTCTTTCCATCCTGTCCGTCCATGCGTCTGTCCAGCCGACCGGTCGTATAGGTCCCCCTCGGTCACCCTTTCACCCTACCACCGCCCCCACCTCCGCCTCCACGTTCCTCGCCCTCTTCGGATCCTTCGTCGATTCTCTATAGTAGCCACTCTTTCTTCTTCTTCTTCTTCTTCTTCTGTACGCTACTATAAACCTGAGGTTGGGTGCAAAACGAGATGCGTAGAATATATGTGCTTCTCCTCCACGCATGTTGTTTAGATATAAGCGAATCACGTTTGGCTTACGAGTACAATATTTTTTCTTCGACATACACATCAGTGTTTCTTTTCATTTCGATCTTCAACAATTTTTCTAAGTCTTTCGTTAAGTAGTAATTTTTATATAATGAGAAAAACTGCAAGCCTTTTTTTATTCGAAACGTCGGTACAAGGCGGCAGGCCAATACGGAGGCTTGCTCGCTTCCGCGGTTTGCTTATCGATTCAAATCGCGTGCAGCGTGTATGAATGAAGGAATGAGTGGGCGAGTCGAGCCACCGGTTGAATGGGAGCCCCACGGGTGACCACAAGGCACACGCGCGCGTACGAACTTCTCTCTTTCTTCCATTCGTTCTTTCGCACGAACTCCGGCCGCGACTCTCTCCCTCTCTCTGTCTCTCTCTCTCTCTCTCTATCTTCGATACCTTTCTTTTCTCTCCGTACTCTTGACCCTTGCGGCGAGGAACCGATGAAATTGTTCACGCGACTCCAGAAAGCTTACGGCACTGTACTATCAGTAAATTTTGTCAGGCGATTATAAATATATCGTAATAGTAAAATGAGTGCGATGATTCAGATCGAATCGCGCCGATACAATAATTCGAATCAAGCTCGAATGCAATAATTATGTCAAACTCTTTGATCAATTACTGCGTGAGACTACTTGTGACTTCTTAATCTGAGCAAAATGCCCAGTTAAGCCTATAGGGTATCGGTCAGGCATGAAAACCTGATTGCAACGATGTTCACGTAGGAACATACGTTAACGTGTCGCGCGAGGCGAAAAAATGGTTAACGGGGATAAAAGACGAGCACGTTCGATCGCTAGCTAAGCTCTGTCGCGGTACAGTTTCCGTTTCTTCTGACAGTTACCCGGTGCGACAGTTTTACATCCGTCGCGTTCGTTTCATTAATTCCGAGCTCGTACGCGAGGTCTTTTATCGGTTGGCTAACCACCCGGTTCCCGAGGTTAACGATTCCACGTAAGAACCACCCGGCCTGGGTTCTCCCTCTAATAGCTTGTATCGGCATTCCTGCGATTTAAAAAATGTGCCAAACCGTCTTTGCCCTTTGGCATTCCGGCTTTTTTCGCGACGTCATCGATATATATTTGCTACGCGACGATTTTTCTTTTCGGTGCGCGCGCCCGTTTCACGGTATTCGCTAATTAATATAATCGCGCTCCGATCCCTTCTTGCCTACCGTGCCTTTAATGGAAAATGCGTGCGAGGACACCGCATACTTTGTCTGATACCAATTTTCTCAATTATTAATTGCTGTGACAGTAAGAAACGTATGAATGTCTTCAAACAATTTTTTCTTATTAATGTGTCTTATTCTCATATAAAATGATATTTCTTCTTGCGATATCAAATAGTACAGATAGTTTGAAAGGATAGAATAATTGAACGTACTGCAGTTTTAATGAACTTTATTCTATAAAAATTAATTATAATTATTATTCATATAATTATTCATAATTAGATTGCAAATGTCACAAATACGCGGGCACGTTATTATACCAGAAATATTCGATATAAATATTTGCAGTCGATTGATAATTATTAAACGTAGAAGTTGAAAAGAATTTCCGGAAGCGCTGGCATCTGAACTCTGAACCTCTCTGACGTAAGAGGAAAGTGTCACGGACACGTGTAGTGGTGAAGCCAATTTCGAGATCGCTTTGTGCGGCACGCTGCTAAAAATGCGTGGTGAATCGACAGCGAGGATCCACGGGGTCTGACGAGGCAGCTTCTGTCGATCCATCCTGGATCAGGAACGGGCATCGGATCCGGTCAAAGCATTCCATTGTAGTGGTCCGGCGCTCTTCTAGAAACGATTCCACCGATCCGCTCGGATTCGACCCGTTTTTCGCCCTATGATTGGCTTCTTCTCATCAGCGTAAAACGGCGACAGCGTTAACCGGGACCACGCGTCCATGTTTCCATGCGTATTCATGCCGGACGGTTACACGCTACGCGTGTATTAATTGACAAATAACTTTTTGCCGGCCGTATACGGCCGACATTGTCCGCGATTATCTGCCTTCAGCTTTTCTTCCCCGTACCCTCCCTCTCTCTCTCTCTCTCTTTCTCTCCCTCTCTAGTTTTTTCGGTTTTTTCGACTACCACGGAGCGGCAATGAAATGCTGCTTTTCCGAAAATGGCTCTGGAATGAGGACAGGTCTCCGGTAGCGGCGCGCACGCCGGCCTATCATTTAATTTGGTATCGGGTACTTACTTCTACCCTCCCGGCTTCAACCTTTTCTTTGCGAGAATACACGCGACGTCCTCGCGAGCCTAACCCGCGTCACGCTTCTTATACTCCAAATCCATTCTTACTCGGTAAACCGTTTAGTGGAAATCGCTGTCGCTTTTTATTCTACAGTTTATCTACTACGTGTCATCAATAATTTGAATACGATATGCAAAAAGTGTACAAAATATTGTTTTACAAGATGCATAGAAATGATAAATGAAATCCATTATTAGAATTTTATTCTGAGGAAGATTATTTAACAGTATGTCTTGATAGCAATCGATGTATATATTTTGTCGGAATCAGTTCGAAAACAGAAAAGGTATTAGAGTATAAGAAGGTGCTCGTTAGCACTTATGCAGTAGTGCATCGTCGGTGGCAATGAGCATCACCGTGTCGTAACAGCGAACGACGCGAGATGCGGCGTAGGGAACGTTTTCGTAAAAGGAACGTCTCGGGCCGGTTAGATACCGGCTTCTCTGTAGACGTCCAGCCGGACTAGTTACCGGTTAAGGCGTTACAAAATCTAGCGTAACCAGGCTACGCTTCACTTTTTCTCTTGTAGGAAAAGTATCCCTGGCTGTGCCTAATGAGCCGCCAGTGGTTCATTATTAAACCGGTGAAAGTTTTCCGAAATCGCAGCATACTATAATAATCTGAAATAATTTATGCATAATTATTGAAACACATTAAGGGGGTACAAAAATGTTGGAGCGATCGTTTGGGTTTTTTATAAGGTCGAATAAAATTGGAGTTTTAATGGCAGGAGAAACGATAAAAAAATATATCGGTTTTGTATAAATTCGGGAACGGCAATACGGTTTAAGGATATAATCCCATTGGGTTTTAATCGGCGATCTTCCCTTCGAGAGGAAGTCTCGGGTCGAGGGGTGACGTTGCGGCGTAGACACAGATACACGCGATCCACCGATCGAGATAGGCGGTTTTATTGGCATCGTGGCCCTTCTGATCTCAGGCAAATGAAGATGGAGCACCGAGCTCCTTGCTCCGTGTCGTGATCAAAAAAACATGATCGCACAGCTTTCCGACGCGCCCTTATTCTTTCTGATATTTATTCAAATGTATACCGTGGTCAACCCTCCAGTCACACTTGCAGATCTCGTGTGGTATCAGAAGAAAATTGTCATAACTTTACTTGCAAGTCTCTTCTAGTCGTACCCATACATACATGATGACATTTACAAATTTTTTACATCAGGGGAAACTTGTTTCGAGATTTTGCTAAGTCGAGTTCCGCAGCCTTCTTTGAATTACAATGCAGAAGCGTAGGATGAATTGTACTCGGGGTTAGTCAAAAGCATTCGGTGACCCTCGCGGAGAAGTGGCAAAGAGAGCATCCTTAGAGACGCGTTAGGGCGCGAGTGGCTAAGGGTTTAACCCCTCTGTCCACAGATTAGTACATGTCTTTCCTTACTATACTCAGATGAAGTTCCCTCTTGCCTTTATTACGACTTCGAAATAAGTAACATTCCTTTAATACCACCGATTAAACCTGCGAAATATTTTCCAAGCACAGTTTCTTCCAAATTCTAAATATCGAAAAATGGATTTCATATAGAATCTCATTGAAACATCATTATTTATCCGAAAACTACAGTAAAGATTCTCTGAGTTGTTCACAACGAACCGTTCTGTAACCGTGAAAACTCGTTCCGGGAGTTAAGCAGCCCTTATGTCGCGGGGGTAAGAAGCGTGGCGCGCTCGAGGGTCGCGCGCATCCCTTGGTGGGGGTGGCTTTCCGACGGGGGTGGCTGCGGCAAGGCCGAGCATGAGGCCGACACGCGCCTCTACTCGATGACACTTATGCACACGCCCTCAGACCGCGTGCGTGTTGCGCCTGTCAAAAGTCACCGGCTCGCGCGTTCCTCTTCGTCCTCTTCGTTCTCCCTCTCCAGGGGCTGTACTTCGTTCCACGTGCTTTGCGGAAACAAAGTGAACAAACTGTGAACTGTATCGATATCAACTTTCATACTCTCGTGATTCCCGTTCTTATTGACATTTGGCGATCTCTTATTTTGGTGAACGTTCGGCTGTTTAATCGAACTTTTTAAGTGCCATGCTAAGACAAATTGTGCGACGGTGAACAGATATCGTGTCTAACCAGGTCTATTTGAAATGATTATAAAATTGACATTTGGCGGGTAATGACTGGATAGAATGAGTAATTTTTGGTCAGTTCGGGGATGAATGATACGAACGATGGACGCGCAAATGTACAGCAGAATGTGGCAAACGCCGAACCTGTACAGCTCGTATAAATACCCTGCTCTGATGCAGCTCCAACCGAACAATAACGAATTTCATTCGTGGTTTCATTCTAGGAAACCGTCCATGGACGACGTTGGAAACCCTACCTCCGTCAACGCACGGTGAGTACAAGTCTCTATGTCGAGCAATTTCTAACGTTTTTCGAATATCCTCCCATTTTTATATCCCTCATAAAACTCGAACAAAAGACAATATTCTTCGTTAAATTCAATTGCCAGTCGCGATTTCTTTATTTCAATAGATTGGTGCATATGTATGAATTTCTTGAATCTATGTTCACTGTTCTAATCGCCGATCTAATACGTCTATGAATTAAATTAAACCAGGGGAGCAAATATTACAGATTTTATGTATTCGTACGAATTGGAAAATCGCGTGAGACTCGGTGATAATCGAATATTTTGAAAACTGTTTGGGTCATCGAGAAATCGGTATCAGTGTCGATCGCCGTATAAGCGGCGAGTAAAATCATCCCGGGCCGCGTTATCGGTCGCGATCATCTACCCTCTCTAGTTGAAGGCATCGAGGATGGGGCCTATCCGCCGCCGTAACAATTGAACCCGTAATAGAATCACATTCGTTCTTATTACCCGACGAGGTCAGCCGAGCAACGGAACGCTGTAGCCCGATCAGCTCTTCTCCTAAGTCCTAAGCTGTTCCACTGGCTGCGTTGTTTTTCTCTACGCGCACGCATACTATCCATATTCTTTGTTTATTCGAATACTTCTGTCTTTTCTTAATTTAGAAATTATTAGAAAAATCATTAAGTAAATGAGACTTGTTTTTAGTACAGTGCGATATATTTCTTGTACATATTTACTTCGTGTCATACATAATATGTTTCAATTTGTTTGATAATTTACTATGGGAAGAATATTTAGAATTGCATCTAATATAATGCAATACTCGTGTTCCGTCATTAATTTAAATTACATGATACCCATGAGTATCAGTGTAAGCCTAATCTACCCTCGGTTAACTCAGAGAATTAGCATACCCTCGTACACGTACGCACTCTTAATACTCCTATCTGTCCCTCAAAAATCTGTTGTTGCAAATCAACAAAGCATGTTCTCTTCCATTAAGTACAGAAAATTAAAATTCGCTGTATTAAAGAAAATTCTTGTACACATTTTGTTGCATATGTATAATGATATACTATTATATAAGATTTTGCTTATTGTTACATTATTAAAACTTTCTGGCAGGGAGAGAAATTGGGCAAAACTGAAGTGCATAAAAAATGCGAGGTATGTCAGAATTCTACGCCTTCGTGTTTGGTTTAATTAACCAACGGTGGTTCGTACACCTAAGCGCGACGGTGGAACAAAGCGTTTGAGTTCTCGGTTTTGTATCTCGTTCTCGATCTCACCGCGTTCTTTAAGACTGAACCTACAAGACTATCAAAAAGCTTTGCTCGCGTTATGAAGATGCCGCCTTGTAGATAGATATATGTATATATAAAATTTCTGCGGAAGGTCCTAACCCATTCCGTTCCGTTGTTGACAATAATTCATCAGGCCCGTGGTCGAGTATTGTTGTACGGTCCCGGCTGCGGACGACAGGAACGCGGTTCCTTCTTATCTTCACAAGAGATTCCGTCAAAACCGACCGCTGTTTTTAGTTTGTAGATCATTGTCTTTGATTCGTGGCTCTCGAGCCTGAGTATTAATGTACAGGATCAGAAAATAGATGTTGATCCGTGTAAATAGATTGCTAATTATATATGATTTCAGTAATAGGTAATAGAATTTTATTATATTATATTACATGAACGTAATAATGTGTGATTTAACATCGCCAATTCAGTTTTTGTGGACAAGTTGATTAGGATTAGAATCAAGTAGCCAGATATTAAAATGAAAATCATTATTGAAATTGAAAATAGATGGAGGTTGAGAATGATTTGGTAGATAGTATCGATGCCTATTTCGCGGTTCAGCTAGGATTAAAATATCTGAGAGATAATTGAACGTTCGCACGTACTAATGGCGGAGCGGGTACGGTTTAACGGTGAAGCCACTGTGGCTGGTGTAACGCGGCGTAACAACGGTAACCGTGAAGGTGCGATGATAAAGAAAAGGTACCTACGTGGGCGTAAACGGGTGGCGACCTGGGAGGCGGAACCAATCCTCCAGGCGACAACCTTATCGAATGGCAAGTATTCTTCGCCTGCAAACCTAACAAGTCAAAGTCAGATGCTACCCGTGAAAACGTTCTCTTTTAGCCAAAAACACCATTCGCCAGTATCAAAAGATTCTTCTTCTTATTTCGTTATCAATTAATGTTTCATCAGAGTTTCGAGTCTCAAAACGTTTGTGAAAATAGTTGCGTTCTCTTGGGTGAAACTTTCTTGTGCAAATTGGATATTCAGAAAACTAAAGATTCATAAGCCAATCCATCGATCTCATAATATCTCTTAATGAAATTATAAAGAAAAAGACGATTATTGATGTACAATTTATTACATAGTGATTTGCAAAAGCCTTATATACATGATACAATAATTGGTAAAGTAGTTTCGTTCTTGGATAAAACTGGCGAAACTGGATGAGGCCAGTGAGCATCGGGAGGTACCTCGAAACGGCGGCGCACCGTTACGGGAAGCTCCTTTTCTCTCGGTGCCACTATTAATATTAATGCATTCCGTTCTTGCGGCATTGTCCTCGCGTTGACGACCGAGGCGACGTCCAGCCTGGTTCTCCAACAATATCCACGCGCCGGTACTCAGGGAACACCGTGGCTGTTCGTCTCCTGAAGGCCCGCGTTTCCCTGATTGTGTCTCGACGACTCGTCTGAATATTCAACCGGTCGATAAATAACGCCGTTCGAGATAAAGAGGATGATTTTTCCGTCGGCGGCGGTTCGATGACATCCGGGGGGGTACTTTTCTTAAAGATGAGACGTACTTCGTTCAGCCTCCTTCCTCGAGATTCCTTCCATTGTCGCGCGCGATTTCCTACCCGGCTCTTATGACGCCTCGACAATGCGCGTTTCTACACGCTCTCGCCTACCGTAACCAATGGCCCGCGTTTTACGCTCCGCTCCCGGTGATCTATACTGAGCATTCTTCTCCTCTTCTCACCGTGTTACCTGCCTCCGGGACGCGACTCCTTCTGCGCTCGTCTTTTTGCTTTCTCTTTGTTTTCGTGCCTTTTTACCAAAGTTTTTCTCTTCCCTCCTTGAGATGGGAGCCTGTTTAAAGGTTGCTTATCTTCTGACGAGGTCGTAACAGTCAAAGAACTGATCCGTACATGAAATCTGTTCTACGATTCTTCGTTCAGTCGATTGAGAGCCAGAAGTGATTAGAAATCAATTATTTCATGGTCGGGTGATGCACTTTTCGACGCGGTTTCCAGTTAAATTGTTCACAGTTTATTTACCAATTTAAGGGTCTCGCAAAAGAAGATCCGCGCAAACTGCTCGATCATTCGGTTTTTATTTTTCATTCTGATTCTTCCTTAACGCTGTTTTTCGATACTTATAGTAATTGTTACCCAATTACAATCGCCTCCGGGAGGAATCTCGTCGATAGAGTTGATCAATTTTTATCGCTGCACTCTGAGATATGGTTCAAAGTTAGCTCCGGTAGCCACGGGGGGTAAAAATTCTTTTTCGATACAAAGAAAGGATTACGCGCGACGAATATTCGGCTACAAATATCTATCATCGTGAGTTATCACGCTATACGCTGGGACATTCGCGAGACTTATTATCCTACGTGATTTAAAGGGTTGGAAGAATACACACCAGGTCCGCATACTTTTCTGACATCATCCCGGAGTATCAATTAAACGATAATGTCGTGATTAATCGTTACGTGAAAAAGTGCCTCACCATTTTTTACTGCCGTACAGAAAATCTGTATATAAGTTTCTGAACATGTTCTTATAAAAATTCTCTTATAAAAACTTTATTCGTACAACCGTTTGATTTATCTCAACATCGATTAAGATCGTTTACCACGTTCCTTTTAACGTTCTATATAAGTGCCGGAGAACTGCGTTGCATTTTCATGTAGGAAACGTTGAAGCTAAGTAATCTGGCGATCGGTGAAAGTGATCGACGATCAGTGAAAATGTAGTGAACGGGTTCGGTCGATTTGAGGAGTCGAACGCTGTCTCGGAAATTATAAGAACGTGCGTCCGGCGAGAGTGCACGTGGTCGGGCCGAATTTCTGCACGTGGGACGAGCGGAATTCCTAATAAGTCAGCGGACTAGACAGAAGTCTCGCGCCCGACGCGTTCGGTATATACATATACCACGTATACATACGTACGTATATCGGCTCGTGCAGCTTGCACGTTGCCGCCGAGAGATAGGAGTGACGTCACGGATACGTGGGATTCCTCCCGAGCAGCTGGATCACGTGCTGCGGCCGAACGTGAGGCTAACTTAAATGCGGATCAGGGAGAAACCGTTCCAAAACCGATCCCCAAATGAATGCAACCGGCCGCGATTCAAATTGTTTTCACGTTCTTCCGCCGCGGTATCGAAACCTCGCTCTAATTTAGATTCGATCGAGTTGGCCTCTTTGAGTTCGATGCGAGGGTCCGAGGTCTCCAGCATCGACTTATTCTCTGTCAAGGTAGTTTGTGTATTCTGTTATTCGCGTAACACCACAATAATTCAATGATTCCTAGACGGAAGGGCCACTATGACTATTATCCAAGGATAGTGTAATAAAAATGACCCCCATCCATTTATGTTCATAAAAAAAATAGAACATCTTCCATTTTTAATTAATTTATTAGCTCCTTACTTAAATAAAAAATGATTTGACGAATGACTGGATTTTAAATGTTCATCGTCTATGAACTGGAAATGTCTGAACTAAATTCTTCAGTTCAATTGTATATGGTTAAGACGTTCGATTGCAGTGTGTCCAATTCTCCAGCATCGGAGACCTCGGCGTTATCTCTCAGTGGCCAGTCAATTTACACGACATTAGGGTCCGCGTAAATAGAACCACGACTGATTTAATTTCCCGTAATGGCAATTGACTGCGATTGCCGTGGTTCGACGTTCCCAGTGGAGACCACCTTCCTCTTCCGCCTGTACTTCTTTACCAAAAACCTCTTCAGATTCTCTCGAAAACTGCAGTACAAGTAATTTCTTATCAGACACTTGTTAAATAATTTCTGACAAAAAAAAAACTAACAGACTCGTAAATATTTTTTAATGAAAAATTGTTAAACGATTCTTGTATCAATTCCTGTAACAAAGAAAATAGATAAATTCTGAAATCTTTTTTTCAAATGTAAAGATCGAATTCAAAGTGGGAAGAGAGTATCTGGAGAAAGAAATTCGGTAATTACGCGTTGGTCCTAATACGTCGCAGTGAAATGCCGCGCGATGCCCGGATGCTGGGGGCCGAAAATTTCTTCGACGCAAAACCAGTCGGTTAACAATGGGTATTTTCATTAGCCGGGGCCCCCCCAAAGCCGAACGGTGAAGGATATTTGATTCGGTTTTTATCGGTTCGACCGACATTCCGGGGCCGCGGGCCTTGTATCGGAAAAACGCGGACTGGGCCCCGGTTCGACTCGATCGCGATATCAGAAGAAGTATCCCATTTAGAAGAAAAATAGCATTGTAAATGCAACGTGTCCGCGCGGGCTTCCGTTTGTCGCGTTTCGTCCACGCTATGGTAAAAACCGGATAAGTAGCCTCGCCGATTCACATAACTGAGTTTTGTACCCTCATTTCTACGGTTCTGATATCTGCACAACCGACAAGTACGAAATTTATGGCCAACTTCGAACTTCTTTCCTCGTTCTTATGACCTGCGAGAGATTTTTTAGCAGCATGATCTATTAGTCGATGGATCGAGTTTTGTGATCGAGAATCAGCATGGAAAATTTTCTGGGTCTAAGTCATTCGTCGATCTATAAGTTCGATACGAATATCGGATGAAAAGATTGCGGGCTTGGTCGAAGTTTTTCTTGTTGAACAATGGGCAAGGACTAAACTGAGGACCTTATCTAATCTGAATATAATTACAAGTGCAGATGATAAAATTGGTTATTATGCTATGGAAAAGTTGATTCGGGTACCATATAATGCAGGGTTTGGAAATTAACCTCGGCCGTCTGCCTACCTACGTTCTGGTGATGATTACGTCTACTTATAGGTATAACTACTTATGTGCACCAAACTACCCGTCTACCGGCTCAAATAATCTTCGCGGTTCTCTGGCTCTGGTTCACCTCCTTCTTTACTTTTTATCCACCTGAATCTCCATCCAGCCACCCTTCGCTTTCATCCTCCGTACCCCTTGGCTCTTTCTCTTTCGCACTGTAAAGGCCGTTACTGAAACTAGTTTCGTAAAACGGGTCGGGCTAGCGCACTCGCCTCTTTTTTTCTGATCCAACGACCCCCGCGCCGCGGTCCTCTAATGCGTGTTAGTGACCATGCTTGTTTATGTGTTACAGATTTGACGAGAGACACTACGCTTTCGAAAGGTACGCTAGCATTCACTACGCATGCTTTTCGTCTCATTTTCTATTTCGTCCATTTCTTTTCTTTTAATATTCAATCTTCTTTCTTTTCGTCTCTGGTGTTCGACGTTCGCATCGGAATATTTATTTTCTTTCTTGCATTAGAACTTTTAAGCGTTAATTATAAGAGTATTTAGAACAAAATATACTTTCCCATAAGGTATGGTCACAGATTAGAATTA